TCTTTGTTGAATGCACTAGTAGAAAAGATCAGAGCTGTTGTCATTTTCTGGGCCACCCACCACAAACATTTCAGAAATCTTTGCCACTCTGATTTTCTACACAGTTGGACTCCCGTTCTTTCCTTCAAACCTTAGAGGCGCCCACTCTCTTCCCATTGGAGACCACCCGAAGCAGGCCACATCAAACTTAACTTTGACGGGTGTTTTCTTGGAAATCCTGACCTTGCAGGCATAGCTTGCTCCGCAACCACAACAAAAATACCCTTTGCTCCTTTTCTATTCCTATTGGTGTCTCAGATTCAGCAATTGCGGAGGTTTCGGCCCTCCGGGAAAGCCTCAGGAAATTAGACACTAGCTGGGGACAGTCTGTAACCATCGAAGGCGGCTCTTACTGTGCTATAGCTTGGGCCTCAGGCACTGCCCCTTGGCCTTGGAGGCTTGACAGTATCTTCGAGGAGATCTGTCAAGTCACAAGGAATCTACAAATCTCATGGAATGACATTTGGAGAGAAGCAAATGGTGAGGCTGATTCTCTAGCAGAGGCTGCTGCAACCTTGTCTCATGCCAACCTGAGTCACCCCTAGGGGACTATTTTTGCTCGGTTTCGTATCACATATTGGAATTCGTCACCTAAATGGTTCAATTCATGTAAAGCATTTTTGATCTACCCATGGTTTTTGTACATGGCACCCGTTTGTGGGTAGCCTATTTTTGGGCGGAGCCCATCTGTGGGTATCCTGCCCTCTTTTCACACATTCATTACTCACTTTAAGTTTAATACAGTCAACATATTAAAAAAAAAAAACTTCAAGGAAACAGGTTCCATGGAAAATTGCTAAATTAGGATTCTGAAGCGGAATTGCCACCTGGTTTGAGAGATTCCGGTAACCATGGTTTGAGGCCACCCAACTGATTGCCTTTGTAAATACATTTGCCCATTGGTCCTTAGTTTGATATATGGTATACTGTTAATTTTGGGGTATACTGTTAATTTTGGCAATGACCCTCTAACAAGCGGAATGTCAATACACTTCGATGTGTTTCTTTCTTTCATGAAACACTGAATTGGTGGCCAGTTGGATGGCTGCCTAAGTATCACAATGCATACTTGCCTTCCATACCCATTTTTAAAAGTAGAGTATGAAGCAAAATTCAATCACATGTTGTGGATGCCATAATGTGGTACGAGACCTCTGAACTATAACAGGCAATAACAGTTTGCTTCTTGCTCTTCCATGCGACTAGACTACTGTCAATGGATTTGCAATAATCAGTATTAGATTGGTGATTAATCTACCACCCGGCCAAGTTGGCATCAGAGTAGCCAATCAGGTCTAGACCAGTCCTTTAGTGATAGAAATACCTCGACCAGGAGCTGATGAGATGTCACAGGATGTGTTATAGCATCCTTAAGTGAAATTTGAAGTGCATCATGACCTGATTAACAACATAGATGATATTGGGTCTTATGATTGTGAGATATATGAGACTCAACAAGACACTGATGGAGTCTAGTGTCTTCTAAAGGTACTTCAGAAGTTTGATCAAGTCAAAAAGAGGGATCAGGGGGAAGATTGATGGGCTTGTTTCCCTGTTTCCTTAAGGAGGTCTAAAGTAGATTTACATTTTGATATGAACATCCTTTTGGATCTAGCCACTTCAATACCCAAAAACATATTTAAGAGGACCCAGATTTTGAATGTTGAAATTTGGCTAATATGAGAATTGAAGGCAACAAATATTTTCTGTATTATCCATGTCAAGACAATATCATCCACATGAACCAGCAAGATCTTAGTCCCTTAAGGTCTTCTTTGTAAAAGTATTTTGGATTGCTTTCGATGGAAACCAGGACTTAATGCTGCTTGGCTTAACCTTCAAACAAAGAAAATTTCTCGACTGAAAATGTCAAAACATGCTTGCGGTGGCTATTTCTAGCCATTTTATGGCTTCTATAATTTGCAAATTTTCTCATTGGAATATGGAGCAGACAGATTTTTTTCTTCTAGATCACCAGGAAGGAATTCATTCTTGACATCCAGTTGATAAATTGGCAAATCTTTAGAGGTTGGTCCTGAAAGCAGCACTCGTACACTTCCCATTTTCGCTATTGGTGCGAAAGTCTAACGATAATGTTAACCTTAAGTTTGAGTTCATACTCTCATGACCAGTGTTGCCTTTTGTTGTTCTATACTACCTCCTACCCAGACTTGAATTTATGCACCCATTTACACCCAACAACTATTATAAGCAAACAATCTCCTGTATTTTACTCTTATTTTGTTCTTTTTATGTTTGTCAAATTCATCTTGCTTTGCCTTCTTCCACTCAGGAAAAAGCATGCTTTTTAGGTTCTGAAACATAATCAACACACGAGAGAAAAGAAAGGGATTATAAAACAGTCTTTCAATGCGGTGAGTGGTCTTTGTGTTTTGATATAGGAAGATCAGTAGGAGAAACTTGAACAAGGGATAAGGACGGTTCTATTTCTTCGGTTTAAGATTTCTTTGAATGTTGGTTGGAGGCTTCTCCTTCGCTTGGCCTATATGGAAGAGCCATTGGAGAAAATATGTAAATGAAAAAGCTCCCTTTTAGGTGATTAAAAGTTATAGAACAGTAATAAAAGTATTTAGTATCTTTGACGAATGTTGCATTTCTTAGGACATAATAACTTGTTACCTAAGAATTACAACATTTGCAACCCTTAGGACAAAGGATAATAGGCGCTTCTTCCCCCCCCCCCCCCCCCCTCCCCCACTCCCCGACATCTTGATTGTATTGGGGCAAAGCATTCATTAGATAACTTTATCTATTGCTAAAAGAACGCAAACAACATTGTTAAGACTGTCATTGCATTTTATTGATGGAAACACAGACTTTAAGACTCTTAAAAATCGGTGACCCAATCGAGCATATCTCAATTCCCCCTTTTAAGTTTTGATGGGTAGGACCAATGCGACTAAGGTGTTATTCAAAATATAGAGACTGTTGTTCTCAAGGTTTTAAGAAATTGATCGGTGATCCGAATCAGCCCTTTGGATTTGTTATCCGCTTTGGGAGATTGCGATTCGGATTGGCAATCTGGTTTATCAAATTGGAAATTAAAGAAATTTTTAAAAAGATAAGTGGGACTGGTTCTGGCCAATTTTGGGAGAAAACTGGCCTGAATCGGTCCAGATCGGTTGGTTTCAGTAATTAAACAATAAAGAATAAAAAAAGTGGGGCCAGTTCTAACCGGTTCTGACAAAGAACTGACCAGAGCCGGTCGGAATTGTGGTCGATTCATGGGGAGAACAGTTCGGTTCCCAATATTTTATAAGATTCAAATCGGCCCAACCGATTCCTGATCCGTGTTGGCGGGTTCTAATCCAGATCACCGATTTTTAAACAGTAGTTGTTCTCATATCTTTTGCCAATCATCTTCTTGGTGTTCAAGTCCTGAAAAGACATTTAGAAGGAAAAGATGTTAGCAGGTAGTTAAGATTCTTGGTGAGAATAACAAGAGAACGAATTGCAGGGATGGTTGGAACATGGAAAACTTTAGAGAAAGGATTGTGGGAAGAGAGAGACAGATTGCAGGGAAGGTTAGAACATGGAAAACTTTAGAGAAAGATTGAAGGGGTCTAATTTACTTTTAACGAGAGTAAGGAGAGATCCACAGACAAAGCATATGTAGCAGGGGAAGCAACTAATCACTTGTCATATGCTCTAAGGTACCTGAGTCAATGACCCCATCCGAAGATGAATCAAGGATGGACATTAGTTTCCTTAAATTTTCATGCAGTTTAGACATAAAAGATGTGGTGTTGCGTCCCCTTTATAGTTGTCGGTCTCATTCAGCTTTCCTTCTATCAAGCTGTCTCACAAGTGGCAAAATTGAGTTGTAAGAGATCTCTCTTTATTCATAATTGCAAGTCTTAAGATAGAGTAATACAACTTGGTCATTAAGAACTATGATATTACCACTGGTTCACAAATCTCGGATGGTACACATATTTGCCCCCTTGCAGTCTAAAAGAGGACCATGTTGGTCTATATTTCTCAGATATGTGAATGATCTTAAACCAATCTAGAACCCATCAGTCCAAATCTGCCTGGGTAACATTTCATAGGTACAAGATGATGATACTCAGATGTGAAACCTAGCACTCCAAAAAATGGATCATCTGGGAAATAGTGGTAAGACTTCCGTAGATGATACATAGACCTAAACCCAAGCATTCTGAAAAGTGGTCTAGTTGCTTGATACACATAATACAAGTTCCTCTTAGCAATTTTCAGATATGCATAGTGATACACAAATCTAAAGTACAAGCAAAATCAGAAGATTGAGCAAGTAGAGAATAACTACTCTGTTATCATGTTCAAACTACTGTTGGTAAAACTGAATCAGACCAGCTGATTCCATTGGGTGGACTGTGAAGAGGCCCGGAACTAGCCCTGTTTGATCTGAACTGCCAATTGGTTAAACTGGTCAAAAACTGGTTTGAAATCATCGGTTTCATCTAGTTGTACGACTTGAACTGGTTGTTCAACTACGTTGACCTGTTGGGCTGGCTGATTCAATATTATTTTGACCAGTTGAGACAGGTTTTTGGCTTGTTTTATAAGTTTTTTTATATTATTTATTACATTTTTTTAATATTTTTTATTTATATTTTCTAGACTGGTCTTACTGCTGAACCGGCTGGTGCAATTGCTTTAGACCAGATGGTGCCCTCACTCTTTCTCTCTCTAAACAAAAAGGTATTCTATAATACCTTGCTTTAAAGAAAAGGGGAGGAGGTTAGAGGGTGCAGGAGAGCGGAGGAATGGGCCAATGGGGGGAGGATAGTGGGTTGGTAGTATTTTGCAGGATCTTATGCTTTTCAATTATTGTTACCTTTGGCATCCATAACACATTGCTCAATCGTTTTGTCCCCAGAATGTTATAGCTACATACTAGACAAATGTTGAAAGAAATGCTTCAACCTAATTACATGTTTACTGCAACACTCCAGGGGCTTCCAAATCCAGTTTATCTTTTCCAAGGTATTGTGCTTCGAAGAGGTGCGAAAGGAACAGGAATGAAATCAATTGAGCTGGCTCTCTCCATGTGTGATATAGTTGACATTTATGGCTTCACCGTCGATCCTAGCTATACAGAATGGTCAGTTAGTTGATGTTCTTGCACATGATCATTTATCAAATTATCATTTAGAATTTCTGGTGTATTTCTAAATATATGCTGCTTTTCTTCTTTTTCGGTATGATATTATGAATCATGTGAAGAATGTTGATCTATGGCATCCTTCTGAGTGTCTCATGTGAACTGAATTGGAAAAAATAGAAAAGTATCGTATGTATTTCACTATTTTTTGGTTTTTTACTCTTTTTTTCTACTTATGGTTCTACTATATTATTGGCTACTAAGTTTGTCCAAAATGTATGTCTTATCCTTTTGCTAGTTCATTGATGTCTCAAAATATCATAGCATGGTAGAGTTGAATTACTCGCATGAAAAAATTAGTATTCATATATCGTTCTTAGAATTATGAATAGACAAATAGACTCAGGTAACATAAAGAAATTTCGCACAGTGGAAAATGGGGGCTAGTAATTTTGTTAACTTGACAACTTGCGATCATGCATACTACGTGTTGAGACCATGTACAACATTCAAAAAGAAAAAAAAAAAGCAACCATGCACTGTAAGGAAAAGCAAATGACGTAGCCAAAAAAACACAATGATACTTTCTAACAAATGACTTGCCAGAAACATCAAGTATACTTGTTATGATTTGTAATGTAATGAAGCATAATCGCTTGTGTTTCACTTGTGTGGTACACTGTTTTGATGACCTGATCCCCAAAATATGTTTGGTAAAATTAAACAACAGATATGTTGCTTTTAGTGGAAAGGAGCCATGCTGGTGGGTAGCATTGTAGGTTAGGATTTTTAAGAGTGAGGGTCCTAGGTACCTGTTCTGCTCGTTTTTTTATGAACAGCTTTCTTAGGAAGTTCCCAAAACTATTCCTCCGGCGACTCTTAAGAAGTTCTGTATTTTCTTCATCTGTTCTTATTCCACTTTGTATACATTCATCATCTGGGTGCTTCCAACAGAAAACTGTTTCTCTCCCCTGATTTTCATCCTCTCTCCCTCATTTTCCCTGTAGACAGAAGTCTATCAAATGGTTAATGTGCATAGCATAATTTCAAAATGAAATCAATGGAAAATACTTACCCAAAAACAACGAAAATCAAAGGGAAATGAAAAGGTGCTATCTTTGATATGGGAAAAAAAAATCCTCTATGTATTATTCAGAATGGAGGAACAAGATTCATGTAGCCATCCCCAGTTAATTGGGAAAAGGCTAAGATGATGATGATGTACTATTCAAAAAGCTGATCATTGACAATGTGGTTGTTTGATTAATGTTTGAATTATGGTGGTCTTCTATGGCTTGAGGTGGAACACCCCTGGTAACCTGTGTAGATGTCAAACAAGCCAATTGGGTAGGTGCCTCATGCTTAGTACCTGGGGATGCCTGTCTTCCAAGTGGTCGCATGTGAACTTACTTTACCTCATGGATTTTGAGGGCAAAAAATGCAGCCTTGTTCCAGGTGACATTGTTCTTTCCCCTATCTTTATGGGGCTAAATCAGTGTAGGATAAATCAAACCGGAACGGTGAACCGAACATCGGCCTGGAAGCGGTAACCGGCCTAATCGGTAAATCGGCCGGTTCAACCGTTCTAACCGGGCAAGTCCCAGGTGGTCAAATTTTTTTTAAAAAAATACAAAAAAAATCTACTAAACTATGAAAAATATATTTAAAAAATAATTAAACAAAGCACATCCAAAAGAAGTTGAAAATTAATTAAAAAATAAATTTTAAACAATCGATTTGTGTCCAGGGGTATTTTTGATATTTTCAGAAAAAGATGGGAAAAATAAAAATAAATATTAATGGCCAAAACAATTTCCAATTTTTTCTATAATGATGAAAAACATTAAAAATACATTACAAACAAAATCCCTTATTTTTTGGGATTTTATATAATTTTTTTGTAAAATACCCGGCTGGTTAACAAAACCGGCTGAAACAAGAACCGGCCAGTCTGATCTAACCGGGCAGTTACTGGTTAGAATGGGCGATTTTTCCAACAATGGGCTAAATTGGTCTGAGATGATTGAAACTTATTTTGATCTTTAGCTTTATTTTCCAAAATAGTTATTTTTTCTAAATTAAGTTCAATAGGATTGAATCTTGGTAAGACATTTCCAAAGCCTTTTGCATAGCTATGAAAGCACATTTTACTGATTCAAATATTGAAGATCACATTTTCCAAAGCCTACTGCATATCTTTGCAGTTTTCTTGACTGTTATTTGTAAATAATAAGTTTTTAATAGATTTTTATATTGTTTGTACGTTGACTCTTATTTGAATTTAACACTTTATTATCCGTGCGTATGCACTCATGTGCACACACAAAGGCACAGGTACTATTTTTTTTTTGTACAATGTGCTGATATTATAGAACATTCATTCACACACATGTGGGCCTTAGGGATGCCAATACAACTGAAGCAAAACATTTTGCATGGAGCCAAAATTATTCCTTCAAGAGTTCACAGGCTAGTCATTGTTGAATGTGGCTCCTTGAATGTCATTAGACAATCCCATGGAATGGACCACACACCCATGGAGTGGAGACTAGATAACGTGATAGATGAGGTCCTAACCTTTGTCCAGATCAATAATTGAAAAACTGCCCATTAGCATACTGGTTTGTAATCTGAATCGGTGGTTCGAGTGTATGTGGTATCCAATATACAAATTATATTACAAAGCTCAAATATCTCCGGTGGCTAGAGTTTGTGGACACCATCATTAACTTTGGAGGTTCTAAGCCTCCCAAGCGTGTTCTTGTTTTAATTAAATTTTTATGTAGATACTATATATATTATATTGTTTGTGACGTTTAGAAAAAAAAGGGAGGGTTCAAACCTCCAACCTTATGGTTACATCCACAAGGACTAGGTAATTATATATTATATACTATATATCCTTCTCAAAATTTTTTGTTTGTCTGATCACCAGTCCAGCCTAATTGGATTGCCGATCCGGCCATTCTGGATTGGGATCGGTCCTTGGGCGATCCACCCCATCAATCTGGTCTTCGAAACAGTGTTGCAAATCAATGTTATTAGACCAGACTGATCATCGACTTGGTGAGGACACCGGTTTGTTCGACCAGTTCATTGATCAGGCTGGTCTAGAAAATATAAATAAAAATATATAAAAAACTTGTCAAACCTGGACTGAAGTGGTTGGTTCAATGGGTCCAACTTGTTCAACCAGCCAGTTTAGACTGGTTTTGACCAATTAGTCTGGTTCCTTCTTCAAACAGTCAGGCCAGCCTGGCTAGATCGGTCTTAATATCATTGGTTTGTATGGACCGATTGCTTTCAATTTGTGCTAAGGGAAGCACATGATTTACGTTCCCCTTGCGTGTATGGTTAATGGAAAGCCTGGCCTTCTATTGGGCCAGGGTTGCCTGCTTTGCAACCTCTCTCACTCGTCCTTTAACCTACTTGCATGTCTTCCCTTCTCTGTTCTGATTGGAACTACTTGATGTAATCGGTTTTCTTCAACCTCTGTCAACAACAAATAAAAATGGTTTATTTTGTACTTTTATAATTTGATAACCTACGTATTCTCAATTGCTCATTTAGTGTCCTAAGCAAGCGGGCTACCAACTACCTGGGGTCGCCTCCCAGTGTTGTTTACATGGTCCTTGAGCAATATTATGGAATGTCTGGAGGCAAGTATCAGGCATAGATCTGGCCCGGTGTATGGATCGAATGGATTTTTCTGGCTTGTTGACGAGCATGTGGGTTTCTTCCTCGATGCCCTAGTACTTACTCGGACATAGGTTTCTAGGTTATGGGGATTCAACTACTCTAAGGAGTGCCTGAGGTAGTAATTTAATGTTTATTCCCCGATGCATCTGATTTTTAGTAGATTCATACTCTATGCGTGTTGGGCGTATGCCTTTAGTCCTTGATGATGGAAACTTGTGTTACACTATTTCACAAAAGTGCTGAACTATGAAGGTTGCTTTTGTTTGCTTGATGACTAATCACCCAAAAGAAATTCATTGCAATTATTTTATTTATTTGTTTACTATGTGATTCTTTTTTAAGATAATACCTGCTAATTAATCACTCAAGTAGTACTGCATTACAACATGGTATGATACTTTCTTTTTCGTAATACAGGACACGTTACTTTTCAGCCCCTAAGAAGGGGCATAATCCACTGCAAGGGAGAGCATACTACCAACTTCTGGAGTGCCTTGGTGTAAGATCTTGAAATCACTGCATCCAACCTAAAATTTATTCTTTCTGTATCCTTTATTTGACTTCATTTTCCCATGGAGCGGAATTGTTTCAGGAATCGCAATGTGTAAATGATTTTCATTGTGGTGATATGAACAGGTTATTAGGATTCATTCTCCTACGAGGGCTAACAGGAAACAAGACTGGTCTGATGTACCTAGTAGGGAAATGATAAACCATGCTCATGCTGCTGCTTATCACCTGAAGAGAGCCCAAACTGGTCAGATGGATAGTGACTTTGGACCTTTTCGCTCTTGTAAGGTTTGGGGTTCTGTTGTTTCAGACAAGGGACCATTTTCAGGTTCACCCGACATGAGTCAGACTAGGAAGAAGTCAAATTACAGCAAGTGGGAGGTGCTTCCATTTGAGAGGCTAAGAAAGGAATCCCAGGAGCACTACATTGAAATGGGGGGCGTTTCTTTGTACAAAATGGATGGAAACAAATTGGATGACCTTGTGTGCGTTAGGCATGACCCGAGAGGTTGGACACAAGCATGATAACAAGCACAGAGGGTCGCTTATGTATTGAGGGATCAATAGTCTGCAAGCGAAGTATTGTGATTCTGTGTATGTGGCTGTCACGAGAAATAGAGGAGAAGCAATTGTATATGCCCAGTGATAAAGTGGATCAAAATTTGCTGATGTTGTTTGGGTGCATAGGCGGTGAGGGTGGCAGGGTGCCACGACATGATATCTTAAATTCCATTCCTACAAGGTCAAGTTAACATTGAGAAAAAAAATGAAAGAGGGGTTGGGTGTGGTTTTAATTTTCATGGTTGTAAGGTGAAGTGTTCAAAAATCCAAAGTTGATGGTGGACATTGAGATTCAGTCTTTCGCATTTGGGATCCTTTGGATGAAAGGATAAGGTTGGGGATTAGCGGGCCCAGTGATTGAAGGACTAGTGCTCTGGCCCACCCGGATTTCAAAGTTTTTCTTGGACGCTTGGGAAAACAGTAGCAAAATGAGATCTCTTGTATTTAGCTCCATAAATTTTGTTCACATGCTATTCTGAAGTGCGGCTGACCTCTCTATTGCAGAATTCACTGACAATGCAGAATTCAATGACAATTGTTTCTGTGACATGTTAATGATTAGCATTTGGCTCGGTTCAGAGGGCTGAAAGTGTTATTCAACAGTGAAAGAACTTGTGTTCTATTTTGAAATCACAATCATCATAAACAAAAAATAAAGGCAAGGTAAAAATCTTCCCGCCACCTTTATGAATTCTTGACATAAATCCCTTTGGTCTCATAATGTTACAAAAACTGTCCCGTTATGGACCTTGAAATCGAATGGTTGACTGAAACCATATTGAGCTACACATCGAAACAAGATATCCCGAGTCCAAGGCATTGTTTGAAACACCGCCCTATCTAACCCGTAGATCGGAACCGGCCCCTTGCCGGGTTTGGTTTCGGGCGGTTTTGGTGATCGGCCGGTATTTTAAAACTAAAAATTTAAAAAAAGTCGATGAAATCCAAAAAATAAGGAATTTGATTTGTAATATATTTTTAAAATATTTTTTACATTATGGTAAATATTAAAAATTATTTTGATCATTAATACTCACTTTTAAAATCTATTTTTTTATTAAGTTTCAACTTCATTTGAATGTGTTTTATTTTAATCATTCTTTATATGCTTTTATATTTTAGTTGATTTTTTTGTATTTTTTTTATTGTTTTCAACAATATTTTGGCTTTCTTGGACTTGTCTGGTTAGAACGGTTGAATTGACCGGTTTACCGGTTAGGTGGGTTAAACCACTTTTGACCCCATGTTCGGTTAACCGTTTCGATTTGATTTTGCAAACAATGGTCTAAGCACTTGCTAATCTTGTGTTTTTTGTTTGTTGCCTATGCGTGTTACCCGTTCTCTCTCTTTAGGGTATGTTTGACAATTCATAATTTAGAATAGGACACTCATCTTAAAAATCTATTTTTGAGATGGATTTTTGGAACTAAATTTTAAAATTTTAAGGACGTAGTCTGATCTCTAACATGGAGATCATAAATATAAAAAAAATAAATAAACTTTAAAATTTAAATAATAATTCTATTAAGAAAACATTTGGATCCATTAGTTTCAATTGATTTTAGATGAGCCATGCACCTATCTTTAAGATGGATGCTTTATACCTCGGGGACTGCAAATATAGAATTGTGATTCTTGCCGTATGAAACAAATTTCCTTTAGAATATTCAAGTATGAATATGGAAGCGACCACACCCTATGAAGATATGAT